TTGATACACCTATCTTTATTCCCATTTTGGTTCGACAATTCTTGTTCAGGCTAGGTGATTTTTACCCCGCCATGCCACGCGACCTGAGCTCATCGTTTCCACACTTGTTTCCTGGAATAGTTCATCGTAGGTTTTTCAGTTTACCTCATAAGAATTTCAAATATCACACAATCAATGCCCTTATTTTATTGATATCGTTGGCTGCATCATCGTTGAATTGATGACTTAATTATTCGAAGTAGGGAGCAAAAAGAAAAATGTAGTGCATTAATTTAACTGAATCTGCGCTAGAATATCGTTCGGATGTCACGAGATATTTTAAAGGTCCAATTTTCCAAGCACATCCCCAGTATCCATTCGAATTCCCAAGAAATTAGATTTTCTGCTTATGGTATGCCAGATTTTCTCATGGTCGTTGAATTCATGATTTGATCCAATTACTTAGTGTTCAGCTGTTCAGGATTATTGAATATTGCTATCGATTATCGTTTATTCACCGAGACTGCAGAATGGATAGTGAAATGCCAACTGATGTCAATTTATAGCCGAATTTTGTTTTGATCATATTTCANACATTGTTTCGGATAAAGGAATTAATGATTCCGTTATCAGCGATCGTTCAGACAAATATTTTGAAAAGTTTATTATTGAATACGAAAACATTTCGTTAGTATTTCGACAAGTTATTCCACAACAACTTGTATCAAGCAAAACTTCACACTAAGCATTATATTGACAGGCAAAACTTCACTAGCATGAATTGCGTTACCTCATTTTGCGGATAGATATTACACTATCCTCAATCACTCACATTATCAAGGAACAATGGAAAAGGAAACCATTTTGCTTTTCAGAGGTCTTCTCAGACTGAGGTTTTGATTTTACTTCTTAATTCGGATGTCAGTATTTTCTCAACAATACAAGATTTTAATAGCATCACGAGGATTACTGATTTTAACTTAATTCATTCAATATTGATCAGTAAGCTTGCAAGTTGAGTCCCTCTATTTCAGCCTTTGCCTTTTTCCCATCCAAACCGTCGGTTACCAATCTGTAACTATCTTTGCCCGAAGGATTGATTTGCCTAGTGATTTTGGTATGGTTATTAATATAATACATGGGAAGTTTACGTGTTAAGGTGTTGATGTTCGAGTCATGGTTGCAAACTGTTTATTCCAGTTGAAGATTATTAGTATTGAAGAAAAAAAAGTATTGCATTAGGAAAATTGTTACGAAGCATACAATAAGAGACAATATAAAAGATGCATCGTTGAGCGATGCCTGATGTATTGAAGGCATTGTAGTAATTAGGTTGTATTTGTTGGACGTTATCGGTTGCACTTGTTGGACGTTATGGTCAGTTCATTTGATTCAGTTGATCGCATCTCAGTTAAAACATATACCCCCAACGCATCACAGGTCGTTGACGCCTGTCCATTTTTGGTTTCTTGTCTTTGCTCTGAGAGGGAATAATATCGATTAATTCGAAGTTATTTAAGAGTATGAAAATAAAGAAAAAGAGCACCATCAATGTTGTATCGTTCCGAAAACTGACTGAAATGTGCGCAAATTTCCGCCAATAGACAAAAGTGCCACCAAAAATTTCATTCACAAAACACGGTTTCTTCACTTCATTGGTTATCAGCCCAGCTATTTGATTTCAATTAAAACCACGTATTATTGAAAAAGCATTCAACGGTTTACGGACGATATCACCTTTTGATACTTGTTCCGAAAACAGTTTAACAGTAATTTATTCAGCATCAGATGTATCGCTCTTTTCAGATTATCAAACGAATCAAATTGTTTCGTTTACTCTCAATTCCAACTTTCTCAAAAAATCAAAAAGTGGTGAGATGAATCAAAGAATTATAATTTCTTACGAGAAATTCTCTCATCCTTGATTGAGGGATTGATCTGCTCATTCTTGTTGAAGCAATTTCACCCAGCGGGTGCATTGCGTACATTACACGTGAACGAGCCGAAACTGAAACTCAACCAAAGAGTTGGTCATCGTCATGTTAATGCTGGTTTCTTGTGATAAGCATCCAGACATCATCATTACCAGACTTCGAGTGAGGTTCAGTGCAAGCTGCTGTTCATAGCAATAAAATCGGAAGAATCAATTTGAATCATTGGAAAGGATTTACGAAGCGAAAATCGTGAAGTAGGCAAATATTGTAATAGAAGTTAACCTGTTTCCGAGATCACCACGAGGATGACACAAAGCAGAACGATTTTCATCGACATGTTGAAGAATGAAGATTCGAGCGTTTATTCACTGAGACGGCAGAGTGGATAGTGAAATGCCAACTGATGTCAATTTATAGCCGAAATTTGTTTTGATCATATTTCACATTGTTTTGGATAAAAGGATTAATGATTCAGTTATTAGCGATCGCTCAGACAAATATTTTGAATTGAATACGAAAATATTTCGATAGTATTGCAGACGAAGACCTGTTATCGTTATCATTGCAGACGTTGCGCTGATCAATCTTCAACTGAGGTCACTGAATTGTTGAGCATTTCGTCTGGATGTAGATAATCCGGCTGGCAATTCAGTCGTCGCTCTTTAACGGGTAAACATTTTGATTCCAAAATCATCAACATCTTGTTGCTATTATTCATGGTGATCGCAACTCAACACCCCTCCAGACATTTCGCATGAACATTCAAATTTTCGCTATTCGGTTTGGAATTTGTTAATCCGATTAGCGATTCGAGTGTTCCTTATCACTGAGTAAATATTTTGAATAAAGAATGACGAAATGTGCTGTTGTTGGTGTTTTCGACGTTTCCGGCTGATCATTGCTTTGCAATATGTATCCAAACATCATTTTATCTACATCGCCACGTTCCGGAGTATCGTGTCTAGCGGTCCATAATCGGAATGATAATATATGAAATGCATTTATCAAAAAGCAAATATTTTGCTGTTGGCAAATTTATTTTGCTGTTGAATCGTGACGATTCCACCTCGTCACGATTCCTGTTTAACAAAGTCTGCATTAATATTATTTCATTCATTTTGCCGATCTCTTGAGCATCGACTCGCGAAATTCTACAGTTGTCATTTCTCAACAAAAAATATTCTGACCTAAGAATTGAACAAAGTTTATTGCTATTAGTTCGGGTGATTCATGTTAATCAATCTTTCAGGCCTTGTATTCGTCAGATGTGTATCTAAGTTCGCTAACGCAACCCAGCAAACAGTTTTCTCGTGAACAGTACTTCCTTAAAAGCAATCAGAATTATATTTTTTAAGAACGTTGACCACAGGAAAGTATTTGTTTATCTGATGAAGATTCTACGAGTATAATGACACGTGGATGATGGAAGTATTTTCTAAATCAGTGGTTCTCAAACTTTTTTCTCCTTCGTACCCTCCAAAAATTTTAAGACATCCTCGCACACCTTAAAAGAATACTTAAAATGTCCTCGTACCCCTCACAACATCCATTCCATATCTCTCATTCACTAGTGTTTGCAGTGTAGATAAGCGTATACTTTCAGGTTACGTTCTAGCCTTTTGAAAAATATATACATTAAGTTCCATTCTCGCCTATTTTACATATATGTATGCGTTGAAGTCCACCCTCGCCTGCTTTAATGCATAATAAATGTGAGGTTATGTTGTACCCCTTGGAGATGCGAGCACCCCGGTTGAGAAACCCACGTTTGGCAAACAGTAGGCGGCAATGCAGCAACCAACATTAACCATTTGTCATGATACTTGATTTCAATGATTCGTTTTACTTGAAAGCTGAAGAAGAATTTTTGGTGTTCTTGTGAAGTGGGAATTCAAACTGTGTGCAACTGAAGCTTGATAAACTTGATGAAATGAATTAATTTTCAGCCAAACAGTTTCATTCAGCAGAATTCATTTATGATAACTCAAAACAATAGATTTGTTTGAATATGTCGTGATTTGAGGTTGTCTACATCCCAAGACCACCAGTAACTTCCACTGCCGTACCAGTCACATACGTTGACCAATCAGATGCCAGAAACACTACTGCATTAGCTATTTCCTCCGGTAAACCCATACGACCCATTGGAATCCTGTCGCATGCAGCTTTGAGTAACTGAAATTTTCATTCACTGAAGATAATTGAATAGCGATGAACGAAGTTATACGGCGCTGCTGGATAAAACTTCAAGTTCGTGTAGCTATAATATGCATTCTAGCAGTGACACTGAAAACAGTGTGAAAATCAGATAAAAGTGCATTGCTAAAGCAGAAGGGAGAGGGTATTGCACACAGAAATGCTGTTCATAACCTTAGCTTCAATCGCATCGGTAAGTGGTGTGCCAACATAACCCGGTAGAACCGCATTCACTCGAATTCCATCTCTGGCCCATGCAGATGCTGCTGATTTTGTGAAACCGATTACTGCTGACTAAATGCATTAAAATTAGCCTTTCAAGGGTGTTGCTAACAGGAGAGTTAAATTCACACTCTGTGGTTGGCATTTTGGAAACGTTAGGAAAAACTGCAGCTAAAGACGAAGTTTACGAATAATTAGCAAGGTCGAGAATTCATGGAACCTTTGTCGAGGCGTAGTTTGCTCGTTCAGCTGCACCCATTTTACCAAGAATTGAAGAAATATTGATGATTGATTGAGCGATTTTGCGCTGGAACGCAAGTCGTGCAAAAGCTTGAGTAACCTATAAATCGCAAGCATACACATCCACTTATTTTCAGTGATCCGAATTCATTTCAATGTCTCAGTCAACTAAATCNAATCGCAAGCATACACATCCACTTATTTTCAGTGATCCGAATTCATTTCAATGTCTCATTCAACTAAATCAAATCCATTCAAATAGTGCATTCTCAAATCTGACAGTGAGACACATTTCTTTCTCTTGTATAGCGCTGTGTTGATCTCTTACGGCATATGCAACAACATACCGGAACCGATCCAAACGCCAAACCAAACCTCATGAACATGGAATACAAACAAGCAAATAAATAGATTCAAATTCACGGGATAGAATGAACGATTGATCGGCGTGATATGTGAATAGCAATACCAAATACACTCCTTTGAGATTCACAGCAACAACTTCATCGAATTGCTGTTCAGTCATGTCGAGCAGAGGTGCATCGCGAATTATACCAGCGCAATTCACAACTATATCTGGCACACTATTGTATTGCTTCATTGCAAAATCAGCCAGTAATTTCACTTCTTTACCACTTGCAACATCACATCCAAATGCCATATGTTTTGCTCCATCTGAATCGACTCGATTAAACTGCAGTGATCGAATTGGGTAATCGAAATTGGTCAGCATTCAGACTCGTAATGAAAACGAATAAAGTAATAACTTCATGGATACTACTCGTGTATATCCATTGTGAAACTTCGTTCACAGCTCAGTTATTCCATTGTGAATATTATTAAATGTTCTCTTGTGAATATTACTAAATATACTTTTGATCACTGCACAGAAAAGTGAAACGAATAATCGAACGGGTAGTAACCATGAGCTGGTAGTGATTTACACACTTCTTCGGCTTTTTTAGGGAACTTATCGACAACAATCAGTTTAGCGCCGTGTTGAGCAAGTCCGTCGCAAATGGCTCGTCCAATACCACTGCCGCCTCCTTAAGAACTATTGCGGATTGTTTGTTTGATAATTGTGAGTGAACTGATCACCAATCAGCACCGGCCAAGAACAGTCACAATTGATATCAGTATCAAAAATTTCGCCGATGAAAAGGATATTTCTGCCAAAACTCATGTCCTCGTTGATTGCTAAGCAGCAAATGAAAATCGACGAACGTAT